TCAAGAAGACAGAAAAAACAAATTCAAAATAGAGCCAAAGAACATCTCAGGTATATCTTTCTACTGAGTTCAAATTATTCTGCCTAGCACTATCCAAAAATTTATATTTGAGGTAAGAGATCTGATCTAATTCCCAGTTTCAGTACTTATCAGTATGCTCATTAAGATTTTCTAAGTAAGTTACATTGAAATACATAAAGTAACCCTCAACTCCCAAAATTAAGAAATATATCAAGCTTCTAATGAGAATGACTGTTAAACCATTAACTCTTCCCAATTTGGTTTACAAATTTAATATATAAGCCCAAACAAAATCATATTCTGTTTTGGAGTCTTGTCTGTTTGTTTCTGGTACTGGAAATTGAACCCCCAGGGCCCTCATACTGAGCTTCATTCCCAGACCTCTTAAATTTTAGGACAGGGCCTTGCTAAGTCACCAGGCTGGGGTCCAGCTTTAGATCCTCCTGTCGTAGCCTCCCACACGCTGGCATTACAGACCTGGCTTGAATAAATTTTTGAGAATGAGCAGTGACATGCCCTTCCTTGGCTTCTTATGTTGGGAATACTCTGTATTCCCCTTACAGTAGCTTTATGCCTCTGTTTGTTCATTATCTCTTGGTGCTTAGTGCTTTAGAGGACTTGGTTTACCACAGTGCTGACAGCCTCTGAACTTAACCCACCATGACATTTTGTCTCCCTATTGTCCTGTATCTCAGATCGCCATGAGGTTATCTCCAAAGAAATTCTGGAGCTGGACCCTTGGGAAAACCAGTGGAATGTTGTTGCCATCAACGTCCTCATGCATGACAGCTATGACGTCTGCCTGGTGGCCAGGATGAACCCCCGAGACCTCATCCCTCCACCCTCGGACCTGGTGGAGGACAGCAGGGATCACTGAGGCCAGCAGGGCTGCAGGAGAGTGGAGCATACCCTGAGACCCACCCACTGTCACCCTTCCGGGACGTGGCCACCACCCGGTGCATGTGTGTTGCATGTGTGGCTATCTGGGCAAGTGCTATACTGTACTGGGAGGAAGCATGAGGGTCCCTCAGATAGGACACTAGGAGTCCAAAGGTGGTGGCACCCAGGGGGGAAGGGGGACACAAAGTACAGGGATGGAAGGATCTCACTCTAATGGGGACTCAAGAACAGAAACCATGGCACCTAGGAAGCTGAGTAAGGATGAGCTGCTTTGCTCCTTCAGGGAAGCTAAATTCTGCCATTCCACCCCGGGGCAGCTTTGGCCAAGGATGGGCCCCAAGGGCCTCTGCCTCCTCAGAATGAGAGCTGGAGCTGCCTGTCCCCTGCTACAGGGCCCAGCCCATCTCCTAGCACATGGAGGTGCACTAGGTTTGAGATCCATCCCAGCTCTGCTGGTGTGAAGAGAAAATACCGTGGCTCTAAAACAGTAAGCACGCTTTAGTCACCACCACTGTTATTACCATTGTCTGCATTCCCCCCAAAAAGTATACACAACCAAACCCAGGACTCTGAGGACACCTGGACTTCCATGTCAGACGAACAGGGTTAGCTTGTCTACTTCACTTGCTGGGAGCTGAGAAAAAAATGTTTCCTCAATGCTGCAGCCTAATGCCTTAACTGGACACCTTGAAAGGCTCCCAAAGGCCAGAGATGAGCCTGTCTGTCCCCCACTGTAAGAGGCATGACCCGGCACTGCCATCACTGTCCCCTGTGAGGTCTCATCCACAATGTCAGAATGGACTGCCCCATCTGATGAGAAGGCTGAATGCCATTGGCCCAGAGTCAGGACAACCAGTGTGCCCGGGTGGCTTAGCCCTGAAAGACAGACAGGCACACAGAAGGGGTTCCCAAACCTGTTCCTAAGGAGTGGTTTCCCAGATTTAATTTTTCTTCCTGATCTTAATTTGTCTTTAATTTAACATAATAGATTGCTTCTTGTTTCTGTGGTCATTGTGTGCTTGGGTGCTTCTTGTCCAACTTTTGTTTATGTATTTGGTATAAGGTCTCACTACACAGCTCGGACTCTTAGTGATCCTCCTGTTCTCAGCCTCCACAGCACTGGGATTACAGGCATGTGACATCACACCCAGTGACCAGTTCAGTGCACTCAGAGGCAGGGCCAGCATGTGGTGTCAGGGATTGAACCCAGTCCCTGCACTTGCCTAAGCAGGCACTTAGTCCACTGAACTATATCTCACCAGCCCCAACTTTTGTATTTAGAACCAAACATGACAACCAAAAGCTGCTACCTCCTCCTTTACATAGATTTGGGCCTGTAACTGAGGCTTTGTCCTGGACTGGCTGCTTCCTGTCACTGAGACTTTGGGAACACAGTGGGGAAGGAGTGCAGCTAGGAACATCAAAGACTGTAGCACTGCCATCCCCAGCAGGTGCTGTTCCAGACAGCAGCACTGCTGTCCAATTGACTGACTATAACAAGAAAATGCTTTAGAACCAAGATTGCCTGAGTGTTGGTGTTCACACTGCACCTCCATGTGAGTTCACTGGAGAGGGATCCTAAGCCTTAGGAGCCCCACAGCAGGTATGACCAGGCAGGGGAGAACAGCAGAGGGAGACAGAGGCAGGCCTGTGATGTGACAGACAGACAGCAGATGGACCCAGCTCCTAGGCAGTCGGCAAGGGAGGATGTCACGTGGCATTACTCCCAGCTATTCTAGAGGGTGAGGCAGGAGAATTACAAGTTCGAGCTCAGCACAGGAAATTTAGTGATTGCCCTTAGATCTGGGGGTATAGTTCAGTGAGTGTGTTCAAGCCTCAGTGCAAAAGAAAGAGAGGGGAGGGATCAGAGGAGAAAAGTAGGGCAGGGAGCAGACATTCTATGGAGAAAGGAGGAGGAAACAGGGTGGAGGACACCAACTAGGTCCCGTTCCAGGCTGAGCGGCAGCACTTGGGTTGTGTGACAAGCCCAGCGTGCTCTTGGAGCTTTCCAGCCTGGAGGTCATTAGGAAAGACTCCAGTGGTCAGAGCCCAACACTGCCTGAAGGACCCTGTGAGCTCTGTCTCCATGAAGGCCTAACAGGCAGAGGCAAGCTCCCTTTGAAAGTGGCCCAGGAGAAAACACAGAAAGCCAGATGTAGTGGTACACCCCTATAATTCCAGCACTTGAGAGGCTAAGGCAGGAGGATCACAAGTTCACAGCAGATTGGGCTACATAGTGAGTTCAAAGCCAAGTTGCACTACAGAGTGAGACCCTACCTCAAAAAAAAAAAAAAAAACAGAAAGATAAAAACATGTTTAAGAGATGCCCTTCCAGGGAAAGAAAGACTACACAGGGTCTGTGTTATTTCTTTTTTTAATTAATTAATTAATTGGTACAGTGTCTCACCGTGCAGTTCAGACTCACAGTGATCCTCCTGTCTCAGCCTCCCCGGTGCTGGGATTACAGGTGTGCACCACCATGCCCAGTTTTGGTGGCCAGCATGGCATGCTGGAAGTTCCAGGGCCAGCAAGGCATTCAATAACAGGGTTTGAATCTGAATCCTTGCACTTGCCAGGCAGGTGCTTAGACTGCTGAGCTATCTCCCCAGACCCTATCTGTGTTATTTCTTATAGCTACAGGTGAATTGACTATTATCTCAAAGTAAGGAGTATAAATTTCCTATTTAGTAAAAAATGCAGGAGCTGGAGATGGCTCAGTGGAATAAGCGCTTCCCTGGCAAGCGCAAGGGCCTGAGTTCTATCCCCGGTTCTGCCAAAAAAAAAAAAAAATGCAGCTCAGTGTTCATTCAATTTTCAGCAGCTGAGGATTACTATATTTTGTAAATGGAAAGACCACTCCTACAACCAGAACGCTATAATCAAAGTGATGTCTTTTGTTTCCGACAACTGTCAATATATCAGTGTGATGCAAAAATAATAACAAAGACAAGACGCACTTCGGGAGTAAGGTTACGACGGATCCCCAAGTTACCACAGGGTGAACACTGCAGCCACAAGCAGCACCAGCAAACAGCCAAAGGGTTGATGTAGAGAAAAAGGAGAGGGGTGCACCCCTGCTATGGGCTCAGGATTCCTGCTTTTGGAGTCTGCAGGATCAGCAAGATTCTCAGCCACCTGGGTTCTTAACTGACCCTGCTCCTTACTAGTTATGAGAACTTAAGCACTATGTTCCTCACCTTTCTCACTATAGTGGGAATAAGGATAACATGCACCATGGGGTTACCATGAGAATTCAATAAGAAAATAGGCTCTTGAGGTAGTGGTTGCCACAGTGAGTACATAAAAATACTAGTTAGCAAAAGTAATAGTCATGAAAATTCAGCCCCTAGCTGAGGTCTAAACAGGCTGAACAAAACAATGGGAGCTCTGGCGGCAGGTGAGGTGGTGGTGCACACCTGTACTCCCCGCACTTGGCTAGCTGAGACAAGGATCTGTAAGACTGAAGCCAGCATGGGCTACTTAGAGATGATATAGGTGTTTTGGTCACTTTTCTCTCATTGACAGACTACCCAACGCCCAAAATTAAGGAAAGAAAAGGTTTATTTAGCCACAATCGTGAAGGTTGCAATCCATAATCAGCTGGTTCCAAGGCAAGGTCGTATGGCACAGGGGAACCAGTTCAAGGCAGCAGAGGACAGCAAAAGCAGCAAGAGCAAAATAGGAGGGAGCGCGAGCCTCTTTGCCTCCCTTACATTACATGCCAGCTATCCACTCACATCATCTCCTTGAGCTCCTCCTCCATAGGCTCAGGAGGACCCTGGCCCCCTGCTAAGTCACTTGATTAAACCTTTAGACTTCTCAAGTTGACACGATGTATCAACCATTACAATAGGAGATAGGGTGTGGCAAAGTTGGCTGGGAAAATGAGCAGGCCTGGACAACACAGGGACTCAGAGCAACACTAGGCCACATGAAAATCCATCCTACATGTAGAACTTCTCTTGAGCTCCCACCAGATGTGTAAGGTATTAAAGAAAAGGCTGAATGCCATGGGGAGCAGCCATTAGAGTTCCCATGATAGCCCAGGCCGAGTTTCTCATCTGTGATGTGTGCTTTTAGTTTTGTTTTTGTCCCTTTTCTTTGTGTTTGGCCCAAATCTGCTCTGCAGAGCTTGTTTCTTCCATGCCTACTCAAATCACACTTTTCAAATAAACTTTTGGCACCATTGTTGGCCTGTCTCATCCAATTCTTTATTCAAGGTAAGAACCTGGAATACTTTAGATTGTTGAGCTATTTCTAAAGAAACTACCCTATAACAGCAAGACCCTGCCTCAAAAAAATAAAAATAGAGTCCAAGATAAGCTTAACCCTCCAAGAAGAGACTTTCTTATCCCCAAAAAGAAAACAAATGTCTAAGAAGAGAGAAAAATAAATATTAAAAATGTTTAAATGGGATCCAAAATTAAAATTCATTTGAAGAGGAGAAAATAAAATAAGTGTTGAAAATAATGTCACTTAAAAATGCATTCCATACCCCTACTGAACACCATAGCTCAGCCTTACCTCACTTTAATAGGTCAGAATCCTCACATTAGCCCACAGCTGGTGTCAGGGAGAAACACAACACATATCATTAGCTGGGGGAAATCTAAATCCAAAGCGGAAAGTATGCTTTTTCCGAAAACATACTGCTAGAACACCATCTGTATTAGTTGGATTTTTATCATTGTGACAAAATACCTGACTTAAATCACTTAAAAGGAGAAAAGGTTTATTCTGGCTCATGGTTTCAGAGGCTTTAGTCTATAGTTACTTGACCCTGTCCCTTGGGGCCTGTGGTAAGAATGTTATGGTAAGGAAGCAGATCTCCTCACCCTATGGTACTCAGGAGAAAGAGAAGTTGGGGTCCCAATACCTCCTTCATGGACACACTCCCAATGAGCTAACTTTCTTCCATGAAGCCCCACTAACCAGAGGTTCCATCACCTGGCAACAGGACCAGGCTCATGATCAAGCCACCAACACATGGGCCTCTAGAGACATTTAAGATCCAAATTGTAACACCTTTATAAAGTCAAAAAAGTGTAAGTTGAATTATTCTGAGGTGTGTAAGAAAATGGCCAGAAAGCAGAGCTAAAAGATAGGGCAGTAAGAAGACCTAGAGAATCAATCCTGGAGACCCAGCAGCCAGCCAGAAGTTCCCAAAGACAGAACAGAGAACCAGAGGAAAGGAAGTGACCCCAGAAATGGCAGCTTTGCTGGGGGCTCACCTGATAGAAGGGCATCTCCCATAACAAACACAAGGAACATTCCAAAACTTTCAGACTAAATGGAGACCCTCAGAATTTTGAGTGGGTAAAGTGAATTACGATGAAAGAGACACAGACAGCAGGGGGCATTGGACATCTCAAGAGTCACAACTTACTCTGGAGACCAATGGAGCAATACTTTAACATTCTGGAACAAATTCTCTGTCAACCTGTTTTCCTATTCCCAGCCTTTCTATTTGCTAAGCAAAAGAGTAGACTGGAGGTGTTTTTCAGCATGCAAAAATTTAGGAAACATTTGTTTGTTGTCTTTTGTTGTACAACAAACTACACCCACACTCAGCAATAATCTTTTAGTTCTACCTTGTGACTCTGTAGATAGAGAACTCAGGCATGACTCAGTGGGTGACGCATCTGGTCCACATGGCACCCACAGAGGTCCTACATGATGTTCAGGCCTAATCTCACTCACAGGCCTGGTAGGCAATATAGATTGCTAGAAAGCCAGGCTCCCCACAACTTCTCCAACATGGGAATCTCAGAGCTCAGTGCACATGTTATAGCAAGCACAGCAGAAGTGCAGCTTTGTGCATCCTATCCTGTGAAGTCTCTTGACATCACTTCTACTATATTGTGTTACTAGAAGTCACAAGTCTCAGACTCAAGAGGAGGGACAAAGACCTCCCCATCACTGAGAGCAAAGCCAAAAAATGTGCAGCCCTATTTTAGAACTACCATATCCACCTTCCATGCACTTCCGAAAAGACACTTCTTCAAGG